ATGTTTCAATAAGGTCATCTCATTCTTTTAAACTCCAACAATAACAATTACAACCTACTCAATTTATGCCTTAAGAAAATCTTTCCATACCTGGGATCAACCTGGTGAACTTCATCTGGACTGTCTCCAGTGACAGTATATCATTCCTTAGACAGCGGGATCAAAACTAATCACAATATTAAAACTGCCTATTTTCACACCAACTGAACGTGGATGCTAGCTTTTTGAATTCATGCATGCCCATCCCCACATCCCTGTGTGTTGCAGCCTTTCCTCACTTTTCCTCATATTCACCTCTTCAGTTCAGCACTGTAGTCTTTCCTCATTTTAACGAATATTCACCTCTTCGGTTCTGCAGTCTTTCCTCATTTTAATATTCACCTCTTCAGTTTAGCTGTGCAGTCTTTCCTCATTCAAATTTTCATCATTACACCTCTGTAAAGTTCTATGCTAATGCCAGAGCAAACAGCAAACATTCTGGGTGTTGGAGAAAATGGGTAGAGGACAAGTGAGAAATTAACTTTAGAAAATGTTTTCAGTGAATACAGAAAGCATCATCTCCTCCAAAATGTGTTCAATTGGCACCTTTCCAATCCTCTAGGGCTTTTCCAGAATCTAAGAATTCTTGGAAGATTGAGAAGCACATCCACTATCCCTGTAGCTAAAAATCCTAGGACAGCACACATCCGGTCCAGGGATCTATCGGCTTTTGGACCCATAAGCTTCCTTGGTACTTTTCTCCAGTGATAGTTTATGTCCTCTCCCCCAACTTCCGCTTTAGACCATTGACTATTTAGTATTTTTGGAATACTATTATTAGTCTCTACCATGAGGACTGATGTAAACCATTTTTTTCAGCTCCTCTGCAAGTTCCTGGTTCTCTATTATTACTTCCCAAACTTCATTCTCTTAGAAGCTGATTTTCACTTTGCCCTTTTTCTTTTCTTATATATATAAGCAAATAAATATATAAAGAAGCTCTTACTGTCCATTTTTATATTACTTGTTGGTTTGCCCTCAGTTTATTTTCTCCTTTTCTTGGTGACCTTTAAAACTTTCCTACTTCTCTGGTTTACCACTAATCTTTGCCACAATGTATGCTTTTTTGCTTTCAATTTGGTACTATATTCAACTTCATTGGTTAACTACAGTTGGGTCATCCCGTCCCATAATCCTCCCAAATTTCTCTTCTTACCTCATGTATGCAGGTATTAAAATTGCAAAAGAATCTTCATCTTTATCCATTTGTGAGGTGTCATGGCAAAGCTAGGGCAAATACTGAAGGTAGACATGTGGGTGTGGGACAAAAATAAAAGTAGAGGACAACTGAGAAATTAACTTCTCAAAATGTTGCCAGGAGAATATAGAAAGTATCATCTCCTCCAAATTTTTCTTTTTTTTAAATGAATTCAGGAAATAAGAGCATTGCTGGCATGATCAACACACATTGCCCATTTCTAATTACCCTCGAGAACACAGTGCTGAGTGGCCTTCCTGAACTACTGCAGTTCACAGTGCTTTGAGACAGTAGGCTTTAGTACTTTGAGTGATTATACAGTTCTGTCTTGGGATGAAAAACTGTGTCTTTGGGTGGCCCTATTCTACAATGGTAGAGGTTGCTGTTTTGGAAGATTTCTGTTAAGAAGCTTAGCAAATCACTGTACCCATTGAGACAAGTGCAAAGTATTTCATCACAGACCTGAATAGTGTCTTAAGGGAGAAATTTGGTAATGGAAATGCCAACAAAAGTAGGGGAAGTCATCACCAATTACGAATGAACGTTTGGTGAAATAGGTGGAAACTACCTTGAGTTATACTCTAAGAAGAACATAATCACAAGCAACACAAGCCACTATAGTGAGAGAGATAGCAGGAACTGCCGATGCTGGAGAATCTGAGATAACACGGTGTAGAGCTTTCCTGCTCCTCTGATGCTGCTTGGCCTGCTGTGTTCATCCAGCTCTACACCGTGTTATCCCACCATAGTGAGCCTGCCTTTCATGCAGAACTGGCTACACTCAACCAGCACTCATATAGTGGCTGATGAAACTCCTCTGTCTCTGTTGGAGGAAGATGGTAATGCCCAAAGATGCGAAGACTGTGGCCCTGTACAAGAACAAAGGCAACCGCCACGAATGCAATAAATATCGTGGCAGCTCCCTGCTGAGCATCATGAAAAAGATGTTGCTCTTGTAAGACTGCAGATTCTGGCTGAACACATCTATCTCTAATCCACACGTGGTTCTAAAACCGAGATATCTACAGTTGACATGATCTTCAGTCTGGCAGCAGCCACAGATGGCATGAACAAAAGAGTTCACTATATATTGCCTTCATTGATCTTGCAAAGGCATTCAACCACATGAGAAAAGGTGGTCTATTTAAGCTACTGGAGAATATCAGCTTCCCTTTGAAGATGCTCAGTGTGACCTCCTCTTTCTGTGATAGCATGTTGAGCAAGCTGTGACAGGGTAACAAAGGAACCCTTTGAAGATCCACACTGGGATCAAACAGGGTTGTGGTTTTACTTCATCACATTTTTATCTTTGTGTTGTCACATGCCCTCAGATCATCTAAAGAGGGTGTCTACTTAATTTCCAGAGCTAACAGAAACTATTTAGCCTTGCTCACCTGAGACATTGTTGAAAACAGACCAAGTCTTCATCAGAGAGTTGCTCTACGCTGACAATGCTGCACTAACATTCCGCAGTGAGGAACACCTTCAGTGGCAAATGGACAGACTCTCTCACACCTGTAAAATGTTTAATGGTGGCTCAGTGGTTAGCACTGCTGCCTCACAGTGCCAGGGACCTGGGTTCAACTCCACCCTCAACTGTCCATGTGGAGTTTGCACATTCTCCCTGCGTCAGCGTGGGTTTCCGTCAGGTGCTCCGGTTTCCTCCCACTGTCCAAAGATGTGCAGGCTAGATGGATTGGCCATGCTAAGTTACCCATTGTGTTCAGGGATCTGCAGCAAGTGTGGCAAAAACCAAATGCTGGAGTAGGATCCTGAGTTACACTGAGCAATGTTTTAAATTAGAGTTGACTGCAATGGTGAAAACCATTGTCTCATGAGACAGAAGGCCGCAAAATGATGATTTAAGGATTGATGTTCTTGCACTGGAGGTAGTTCAGAGAAGTTGGGATGAATCCTAGGATCAGCCGGAAATTTTCTAAATACCATGGTGTCTTCAGTTTTAATATGTGAGGCAGAACCTCACTTAAGCTCACTACAAACTGTTGCAGATAAGCACTGCGTCATACTGAAGTATTTCAAATAAACCATATATGTTGCACATACAATTTTAATCATCAAGCGTTTCCAACCTGAAATCTCAACACAACCCGAAGGAACTGGCAACCAGACAGTACTCGCCAACATGCAGTGGTTCAGATGTAAGGGTAGAAACAATACAAAGGCCTCCAACCTTCACATCACTGTCAATTGTGCAAATGTACGTATGACTGGCTTGGTAATCATGCAGCTTTCTCTATAGACTGGCACCATTCTCCTTTAAATTCAGCTGGAATAGGTGATTGAAAGACAGATTAATCTAAGTGGGCACAAGCAAAAGCAGGATCCTGCAGTTATTAATACCTTCAGTTTTGTTGGCTCTAAAAGGCCATTACTTAAATCGTCATTACATACTATCAGAACACTAAGAAATGGTTCTGTAGCATAAAGAAAACTCGAAATACAATTAGAAAGAGACAGCAGAGGATGATGATAACTGCCAGTAATTTTTTTTTAAGTAAATTTTATAAACTTAAATTGTTATCCAAATTAATTGAACAAATTAAGGGTCAGTATGTTAGGTTTTGCAACTTTTTCTAGTTTAAATAACTTACAGTTTTAAAGGTAGTATCCCAAATGTACAAGAAAATACTTTGGTATCATTTAGAGACTACAATAAAATCTGGTCACGGCCAATTTTTTTTTTTAGTATACCATCAATTATAGCACGTGAAACCAGAGACTCTACAATAATAACCTACAATCAATGGTCTACGATGCACCAGACCCCATCTTAGATCATTAGCAGCTAAGATACAGGTGGCATGTTACATACTTGGAGGGTATGAGAATTCAGGAGAGATAAAGTAAACAGCTAAACTCTTAGTTAGAAAATTGTGGGAAGTTTCCACTTGCAGGAGAATCTAAAACTAGTGGTCATAGTTTAAAAATAAGGGGTCACCCATTTGAATCAGAGAAGAGGAAACTCTATTCTCTCAGAGGGTTGAGTGATTCTCTTCCTCATAAAGCAGTATGTACAGAATCTTTAAACATTTTTAAGGCAGATTCTTGATTACCAAGGAGTTGAAAGCTTATTGGGTTATGCAGCAATACAGAGTTGAAGTTAAAATAAAATCAGCCATGGCCTTTTTGAGTGATGAAACAGGCATGAAGGGCAGAGTGGCCTACTCCTGTGCCTTGGTTGTATGTTGGAGCAAATTTTTACAATTAATGAATGACGGATATTTATCTTGTTTCCATGGTGTACAATTAGCACCCTGTTTCAATCACAAACTGCTGTTCTTATGATTGCCATTGTCTTTTTTCAATTGTTAGTTGTTATCCTAATCTGCACAATGTGTGAAAGCAAAAGAGAAAGTTATAGACTGTGGAAGCACAGTTAATAAAGTTCACATATATCCTACAAATAAACACCACCACTTTCATTTCTATTTATTTAGAAATGAGAATGCTTAGTCTAACAATAAAAACACACAGTCTCCACAAAGATTCTCAAGGTTTGGGGAGATGTAAATGGAATGATTTGCAAGGAAAACAAGAACAGTTAAGCAACTGATTAAATTACTTATTAAATGGCATACACCCAATACTGTGAAATTTATGACAGAGTGGAATCTTATGTGTGAATGGGATGTACATAAAGATCAAGATTTGTAGTATAGTTCAATAATCTCTGCTTCAGGATGTCAGAATATAGAAAAACTCTGCAGGCAAACAGCCAGTTGTACACTGGTGACTTACTAACCTGCATTGGTGACACGGCAGCTGCTGGTGGTGTTTTCAGAGGGCTTGGGCTGAGGGGGCTTCGTGGAATGGTAGCCGTGGTAGTATTAGGCACAACTAGAAAAGAAATAATTTTTGATCTAGAAAGCTGGTTCACATTCACATTCTTAAAATATAAGTCACCCTCAACGGCATATCACAACCCAATCAACAGCACATGTACTCGGCTCAACTGCAAGAGTCAGAGATCTACAACACAGAAGAAGACCCTTCATCCAACCTATCGCGTCCATGTCAGTTAAGAGTTCAGTAATGGAAAAAGTCAACTGTGGTATTTTAGAAGTCAAGGAAGATTGCAGAGTTTATAATGACACTTTTCTTCAAGTAAAAGGGTACAATTCAAATTGCGTGCTAAAACATAAAAAACTAACATAAACAGGAGCAGCCATGTATAACTAATATAAAACTTTACAAGGACATCCAATACATCCCTCCTGCGTAATGTCATTTGTCTGCTCTGTAAACCAAAACATTTGCATTTGAATTACAGTATTTAAAACAGTGGTCAGCTGGCATGTGGGCATCCCAAAATAGTTTCGTTTTGGAGAGATAAGGGCAGGAATGTAAAAAAAAATCCAGATTTTCTGATGGTCTGATAGTCTTTTGTGCAGCACAGATGGGAGTTTCGCGTCAGGACAATGTGGAATCCCCGACGTAGCAGACTCTGAGGGAATTCCCCCAGGGAACTGAAGGTTCTAATCAATTCCCCTGTGCCTGGAACTCTCCAGAAGTATCCAATTAAATCATAGAATCCACAGGGTTCTGCTGCAATTATGGAAATAATTGTCCAGGAAACATTAGGCAACAAAATACATAGTCTAGATCCTGGGTAACTGTTAGAATGACCACTACCTCCCCCACCCCAGCGACATACCATACAAACCTCTAACTACACCTTCTCTGGACACTATATACCATCCCACAGCCCATACACCGGAATCTGGGATCTGTATGCCCTAAAACCTTGAAGAGGGCAGCAGCGTAGTGACGCTGATTGGCTGACATGGGGAAGACCTGCATCAGTGCAGTCACTGCTTCCAGAAGGTGGTTTGCAGAGGGGCTGTTGTCAAGTGACAGTGACCTGAGATGTCATCTCTGGTATACTGATAAAACCTTTAGTTATCTCATGGCAGTGACTTGAAAGAAATTCTGGAATTTGCACATTAATCAATCAAAACCAAAATATTAACGATTTAATAACTATCTTCGGTTTGTTCAATACATTCACATCAGTTCTCTGATCCTTTGATCTTTTACTTATAAATTCTGTGTCCGATGCCATCTCTCTCAGTAAAACCTGGAGGAGGAGCAAGACTCTGAAAGCTTATGTTTTCAAATCAACCTGTTGGACTATAACCTGGTGTTGTGTGATTTTTGACCATGTCCACCCTAGTCCAACACCAGCACCTCCATATCATGGTTACCTTTCATATTTACGTTTTCACAGGAGTCTGTTTATAATGCTAGACATTTAAAACATACAATATGACAACTACTGCTGTGACATGAGAGGATGGTTTATCTTCTCCTTAGTATCTTGCATGATGAGGGACCTGTCAGATTTAAAGTATACTCTGTATTTCTGAAGAGACCCCGATCAGAAACTCCTGTCAGTGATTTGGAGATCTTTCTTAGCATAAAAAAAGTAGGAATAGAGTGGCCATTGACTGTGATTGCTAGTCCTCCGAAAATCCGGCTCATGGCTTATACAGAGAATCTGGTGAACACAGAGCACTGCTCAATAGTTCTAGGAGTCAAAGCAATCTGAGACAATACAGGAAAGATTTCTACAGTAATGTGGACTAGATAGGTTACATTCTCAGCCAGACTTTCTGTTAAAATCATAATTGCAGTGTGGGGATGAGAACACATCCAGGAATTTAAGGTTGGCGTGAACTGAAAAAAAGTGATCAAATTTAGGAGCAAACACTGCAGATGCTGGAATCTGTACTGAAAACAAAAAATGCTGGAAATCACAGCGGGTCTTGCAGCATCCATGGAGAGCGCAAGCTAACATTTTGAGTCTAGATGACTCTTCAACAGAGTTAATGTGAAGTGTGGAGGGGGCAGCATTTATGCAATAGTCGGAGGTAGAGTGCTAGGGGAGAAAGGGTGTTGATTGTGCAGATTAAGTGAATGGAATGTGAGAATGTCAGAACAATGGTGTGTCTAACTGCCAAACTGGAAAGAACAAAGTGTCCCATTGGAGTGGGGGGAGGTGAGAAAGAAAGTGATGACAGAGAATGTAACAAGTAAAGCTAACTTTAGGTCAGAAAATACTGACTATGGCTTCTGCATAGTTAATGGTTCAAACAAGAGTACATTTCCCATTGGGCTACCCTAAGCATTTCCAAAGTGATTTGTCACCGAAAGTCCACAGGTGGCCACACGGCAAGTTGCCAGTCTCAAACTTGCTACTGAGGAGACATGTTCATTCTCAAAGGAGAGGAAACTAGATTACTGTTTCCAAAGTTACAAACTGATTGGCTTACATTTACAAACGTACCATTTAAAAGTACTGCAGTCAATTTAGAGACCACAGAATGCTGCTTTGCCTAATCTGTTCAAGGAAACAGTAGCCCAGGTTTACTGATCAGATACTTTAAAGGAGGTCTTACATAAAATTTGCTGCAAGAAGCACTCTTATGTGAAGCAATACTCACCAAGATCAGCTAAGAGAGGATTCTGAAAACTGTGCCTCCTTTTCCAGCAGTGAAGTGCTGTTTTCTGATTTAAAAGCCTGGTAGCCACTTTGAAACCTATTAAGAGCAGATAAGTGTGGGGCATGGCAACAGATGAATAAGGATTTGGGATAACGTGTGGATGGGTTTGGGTCCAGTGGGTGCAGAGGGTCAGGTCTGGGGTGAGAGGTGATCAGATGGGTCATTGCTAAGTCAGGAGTTCAGTTTAAGTCACCCAGGAGTTGATGCAGTTTTAAATCCTCTAATTATTCCTGGGTTAACTCTTTAGCCTTGTCAGTTGAACATTTAGAGGTTTCTGACTCTATCTCAGAATAGGGGACATTTCCAAAGGGTTCTAGATGCAGAGTAACTGCCCCAAGGAAAATTCCAACTTCCTGGACACATCCTGCAGAGTCATCTTTTTGGGATTTTCACATGGTTTTGGTGTGCAATTCTAGTCTACACTGTTGTAATGACCATCTTGCTATTGGAAACTTTGGGCCAGTGTGTCTCAGTACAGTAGGTCTGGCAGCATCTGTGAAGGGTAAAACAGAGTCAATGTTTCAGGTCCAGTGACCCTTCCTCAGTCTGAGGAAGGGTCACAGGACCCAAAACGTTAACTCTGTTTTCCCTCCACAGATACTGCCAGACCTGCTGAGCTTCTCCAGCAACTTTGTTTTTGTTCCTGATTTACAGCATCTGCACTTCTTTTGGTTTTTACTTTGTCTCAGTACAGTGTTGAATATTTCAATGGGGAATGTCAATATTCAAAGCTATGTTTTGTAATAAAACACAAATAAATTTTTTTACACGAATCAGATTTTTAAGTAAAAAAAATCATTGTTACCTTGGGAAGCACTGTCGAAGGATTTAATTAGAGTTTTGACAGTTGGCGATGGTTCAGAGGAGGTAGATGATCTGCGACTCAGACCCATTCCTTGTCTTAAAGCTGCTAGATCACGCTCTACAGCATTCATGTAATTGTACATACGCCCCCGCTCTTCATCCTGCCTAAAGATCAAAATAGATAAGACTACAATGTATGTAATAAATATCACAGCTTATCAAGCACAACCACCTCAGAATAAATTTGACTACTGTCAGTTATGGCTTGGATTATGTTGTTAACATTAGAGCTGAAAGGAATATTTTTCTTGTAGCAAACACTAAAGTTAAAAGGAATGCTTTTTTAAATATCAGGATTTATATACAGAGTCCCGCAATCAGTAACTGATCTCAGTCATACCACAACGCAGAAGCCAGGGCAGAAGCTAAACGTTTCCATGGACGCATCAGATACAACTCCTGGTGGTTCAAAATGATGTAAATCTCTCAGCTGTGGCTCACTACCTTTGGGATTTCCTCAAAATGCATAAAATTGGAAAACTCTCCAACAGGAAAAGTTTTAAATGTAATGAACATTTTAAAAAACTCAATCCTACCACCTCACTATATCCTAAACTAGCGCTTTCTAAAACCACTTCCAGCTACTTTTTAATCAGTTTACATTCCTTTTGGTTCATTCCACAATCTCATTATCTGTTGGATCCTCCTCACTCCTAAATCTGCCTTCACTACAGCGGTCAATTCACTTGGATCAACTTTGGCAATTCCTTTCAAACTCTTGAAATCTTTATTTCTGTTTCTAAATATATAAATTTCAATGTGATCAAGATCAACTTTGTTAAAACCTCACTGGATACAGCAACACTTTCATTACTTTTGTCTATACAATAATACTGAAAGAAACATGACATTGGGGCGGCACGGTCGCTAAGTGGTTAGCACTGCTGCCTCACAGCGCCAGGGACCCGGGTTCGATCCCACCCTCAGGCGACTGTGGGGAGTTTGCACATTCTCCCGGTGTCTGCATGGGTTTCCGCCCACAGTCCAAAAAATGTGCAGGTTAGGTGGATTGGCCATGCTAAATTGCCCGTAGTGTACAGGGATGTTTAGATTGCTGGGGGGTTGGGTTAGACATAAGGAAATGCAGGGGTAGGGGAATGAGTCGGGCTGGGATGCTCGTTGGACTGGCAGTGTGGACTAGTTGTTTCCACACTGTAGGGATTCTATGAGCTATTTCATACAGACTTAAGATCCAGGGCTTGCAAGGACTGGCTTCATAATTTCAATGGATGGATTTCTCACTTATCTATTCACTTCACTTGATGAAGAGGCTACGCTCCGAAAGCTTGTGATTTCAAATAAACCTGTTGGACTATAAGCTGGTGTCATGTGACTTCTGACTTTGTCCACTTCAGTCCAACACTGGCACCTCCACATCATCACTTATCTACTGTTATTCTTCAGCCACTTGCTGATTGATTTACTGCTGAGGATACTTTTAACCTTCTGTTCTGAAGCATGTGTTATCACGGGTCATGGAAGATTCTCAGGCTTTAATTATTTTTAATTGGCTTAAATCTTCCTATTTGGTTATGCTTGATATATTTCTTCTGACTCCTCTTGCCCTCTATTAACTGAACATTTGTTTGTCATATAGAAACCCTGTCCAGACTGCCAGAGCTATGACTATGGAAACATAAAACATGCCGAGGACAATGCTCCTTCCTATGACTTGCTGACTGGAACTGAACCCTTCACTGGATAGAATCTAAACAGGACTCTGTACAATAGCATAACTCCTTTTGATTTATTCTGTACTTTTTTTTGAAAAAACACACTCTAGGCAAGCAATGGGCTGACTGCTTTATAGATTCATTCAAACTTGTCCTATTCTAGACCATATATCACTGCTCAACTTTGGAATCATGTTCCAACACTATTTGTTAATTTACAATGCATTATAAAATCTATCAGTCTAGATATTTGCCCAAGTCTTTAACCTATTTATATTGCTTTTGCTTGTATCATTCTTGCCTGCAAAATTTCAAACCAGCGACAAACATGTTGGTTGTATTAACAATGCGCGAGGATAATTTAATTCATTCACTAAATATTTTACACGGAGCCTCATATTGCTACAATTTTTATACATGTAGCATAATCTGGACACCTTGTGGAGCTGTAACCTGAAACTGCTAGGCATATCACAAGCTGCAGAAGATCCCTGATTAAACAGTTATTCTGTGTGACTTAAAACTATGCTGACTTTCAGTGATGAGTTTCCTTTCTCAAAGGGGCAGGTAATTGAAACATGGCTCCATCTTAGTAGCAGGATAATAACCTGGATAATTTATGGTACATCAAGCCCTCTTCTAAATGTCAATATATTAGGATATCTGGGCACAAACGTCTAAAAAAATCTCTCAAACATGAAAGATTTACAATATATGAATACCATTTGAAGTCAACTTTCTATTTAGCAATAACTTTGCATCCCATTTGATGTGAGACTTAAAGCATTATGTAGATCATCATCTCTTGCTGCAGACCTTCTGAAAATCGAAAAATATCAAGAGACTCCCCTAAATTAACCAGCAGTGGCCATGCTGTGCTTTAATGATTAGTTTTCCAGTGTCCATGACTGGTTTTCTCAAAATGTTTTCCTGGATCTGCCATTAAAATTTACTCATCTACAGTTTAGTATCGCTAGATACCACCTCAGGATATTTTTTATTTTCCCCTCTGTCAGCCCTTCCTTTGATCACTTACATACTTGTTTATACTTCTGGTTCCCTACCCAATCTTCATGAACCAATGTAAACAATCAACTACAGCTCATGACAGATTGTGTTCACCTAGACCATAAAAACATACAAGCAGGCCATTTGTACCATAAAGTCTGGTCCACCATTCAATGAGTGATCCTCCTGCCTTTTTTCCCTATAACCTTGATTCCCTTATTGATTAAAAATGTCTACTCACCTCTGAATACACTTAACAGTCTAGGCTGTACAGCACTCTGTGGTAAAGAATTCCACAGATTCACTACCTTAAGTGAAGAAATTCCTCCTCATCTCTTTCTGTGTGACCCCTCATTCTGAGAATATGCTCTCTAGTCCTAGACTCTCCCACAAGGAGGAACAACTTTTCAGCATCTACCCTGTTAAGTCCCTAAAAATCTTGTACGCTTCATTAAGGTTGCCTCTCATTTTTCTAAATTCCAATGAGAATAGACCAAACATACTCAACCTCTTCTCATTAGAAAATCCCACCATACCCAAAATCAGCCTAGTGAACCTTGTCCGGACTGTTCCCAATGCCAGTATATCTTTCCTTAGAAAAGGGGTTGAAAACTGTTCACACTATTCTAAATGTTGTCTGACTAATGCCGTATATACTTTTAGCAAAACCTAGCTCAAGATAAAGCTCTAACTAATGTACAACGTACCAAGTCACATCACAACATCCCACGTACTTGCGTGCCTTCACTTCCTCTAGTTCTTTGGTGAGCTTTTCAGTTTTTTCCATTGATTCCTGAAGTCTGCGTCTCAGGTCGCTGATTTCCTCTTGTGCTTCAGACTTAATATCATTTGCGATGACAACTGCAGTCTGGAGGTCTGCCTGAAACTGTCGCCACTCAGCCGACTCCTCCTATTTTTAAAAATGTTTTGTTTCAAATAAAAGATGCCATCATTGTGAGGGCTCATAATGGTACCATGACAAAAATAAGCCAAATTACACTGAAATTTGAGTTGTAACACTTTGTTTACGTGAATGATTGAAGCTTCTCAAACCCATCTTATTTCAATGCAGACTACACCTTCCAATGCTCACTCATTATTGATCCATGTTACGTAATCAACCACACTCTCTCATACCTTGACCACAAGTAGACTGTAACATCACTAAAGTCACCTTGACAAAAGAAGGATTAAGCATTACTCCTGGAAGTGGGAAAACCCGAAAGGAAGGAGTTGGAAAAGAGCAATCCCAAATCACTAGTACACCTTTCCCAACTATGGCTACTGTACCAATCAGAATTGTGTATGGCATCAGGGCATGGAGGGAAGTCAACCAGAGAGTTTAGAAAATTATCAATGACATTTAATGTAAATGTAGACCCAAAAAGAGGAAAATAAAAAAAAACAAAGTGTTTAGCTTTTATTTGTGCCAGGATTTAAATTGCTAATTTTCAAAGATTTTCCTACAATCACATTGAAAAAAACCGAACTGAATAACTAAGTAAATGAAACAACCTACCCTGAGTCTCCTGTTTAGGATCTTGGTCTCCCTGTCCATATCGTGTTTCTGGTCTTGAAGTTTTTTCACTGAATCTGTGGAAAATAAAGACCACAGTAAATACTGATATTGAAAACTTGCACTTGTTTATTACATCCAGCCGTAGCCAGCAGGACAGGCAATAGTTGCAGAGACAGCTGTTAATTTTTCTGGTCAATAATTTTCCTTTAGAATAACTGAAATGTTACTCTACTTTTGTCCACAGATGCTGCCTGACCTGCTGGGATTTTCAGCTTTTTTGTTTGTTTTTATTTCAGATTTCCAGTATCCACAGTGTTTTGTTGTATTCGGGAAGAATTAAAGTCTACCCTGAATAGATGCGCAGGGCATTTGGGAGAAGTAAACAGAGGTGTGCTGACACAGTCTGCTCCTTTGGTTATCTCTGACCACTGGTAGGTTGCTCCACAGCCTCTAGTTTCTTCTCTCCCACAGTCTTCCAGCCCCCAGGCCACAGAGGCTGCTATCAAACCCAATACCACCAGATTCTAGTAATGACCCAACATGAACAATCTCCATCCTCAATATTGCTTCAAATTGCACTCTATATTAAGGAACCCAAATGGTTTCTTGCTCAGTACTACCCAACACCTGTCTGTATTCCTAATCCCAACAAACCACACCCCGCTCCACATCTGCACCCCTCACAAACAACCAGTCACCTGTAGAGTGATATAAACATGTTACTGATGTACGTATGAGGAGACATACATCAGGAATGGTGGAAACAACTGATGAATTTGAAGCACAGATGTTTTAGTCTAAAACATCTGTGCTTCAAATTAAACACATACATCGAGTTGGGGGGGTGGGAGGTGGTGGTGGATTGCAGCATGGGGAAATAAGAAAATTTTGGGTTCCTGCTGTAGCTACTCTAAAACCTTCCAGGACATTGAGGGCCAATGTTCATCCCTGTGTAAAATTGGAGTTCTTGCTGAAGCTGACATTTGATGTAACACTACTCCAGGAGACTGTGCCACAGTGACATCTGTAATCCTGAGCATCTTGAACTGGAGTTCATTTAGCCTGGCTCAGGACTGGCTCATCAACTACTTACAATGGGCCCAAGATGAAGTGCGCCAATATACTGAAATCTGGTTTATCATTACAATCTAAACTAGACTGAACTAATTAAAGCTAGATCACTCAAACCAAGAAACATTACTACTGTATTAGAAAAAAAATCAAATTATCTAATGTTGATCAATAAGACAAACATATGGCAGAGGACAACTTCTCAGGGTAGGTGTAGCGTCTGTTCAACATCTCATTCAAAACAGCACCTTTGACAAGTGCTGCACTCCTTCAATACTGGTACTCTAGTATTCGTGGACTGGAAGGCAGGATGTTAGAAGTTGTTTGTAAAATGATGGTGGGGTGGGGGCGGGGGGGAAGAGTCTGTGGTTCCTTTAAAAGATGATCTGTTATTTCTAGGTTTAGAGATTTTTTTTAAAATGTGCAGCTGCACAGAGAGCTCCTGAAATTGAAACATTTGTATCAGGAGGGCTGTGTAGTTAGCAACCCAAGCAGTAGTTTGTTTAGGCAACCAGTTTGAATCAGCCAATTAATTTAAACCAGGCACTTAGAGACGAAAAACCAACTAAATTTAAATCTGATGGTTTTGACAACCTAGGCCCAATCCTATTGTAAGAAATTAATAAGTTGTCAAGGGTATAAAAGAAGACAGTATTTGAAAATCTGTGTATAGCAACAGCCATCAGCTAAAGTTAACAACCATCAGCTCTAAACAGAAAATCACTGGTTCTCACAGAATTCTCTAAGCTCTCAGAATAACCAGCATCTAACTAAAGGTACAGGGGCACTCTTGGCTTATATTCCTGACACAAGAATTCGATGGAGAGAGGCGTTCCTGACAAGAATTCAATGGAGAAAAGCAATCCTGACTGAGGATCAGCAACGAGGGCATGGAACATTCCAAGGACGAATCCTGGCTGTAATTTTGAGGGATTATGTTTTAATTTTTTTAATTATTATTTTGGTTTGTATAAGTAGGACTTGCATTTATTAGAACAGCATACTATTAGAAGTTTGTTTTATTTGGGAATAGTTAGTAGTTAAGGGGGAATTGATCAGTTTCTTAGTAGTTCTATTAATTTGTTCACTTGTTAGAGTTAGGTAAATAAATTGCTACTTGTTGATTATAGAGTGAGTGAAAGGATTTCATTTCAGTTAACCACTCCTTTATAAAGATTGGGGCTGAGAGGTAGGTTATACCACTTTTCACACTTCTTTTTGCAGATTGCGAGGCGAGGCGAGCCTCTGTCAGTGTTTCAGTTTTTGTTATCAGAGGGAGTCGATCTCTGCTTTATAACAGTAAGCAAAAGCCTGACAGTGATAAAATGATTCACATTCATGCAGTATCCAAAATTCGACAAATACTCATGCATATAATGTTCTCCACCAGTTTTTAGGAAGCATAAACACTTTTACACATGATTGAACAAGTTATTAAAAAAAACTGCAGGGACAACACTTCATGTATCCTTTTGAGATAGTAGGAACTGCCGATGCTGGAGTCTGAAATAACAAGGTGTGGAGCTGGAGGAAGGCTGAAGAAGGGTCCCAATCCGAAACGTTAGCTTTCCAGCTCCTCTTATGCTGCTTGGCCTGCTGTGTTCATCCAGCTCTACACCTTGTTATCTCATGTATCCTTTTGCTGCCCATTGCATCTGAATGCATGTGAAATGAAGTCAACAAATGGTTTAAATTTTAATTTATTGTAGTACTTACAAAGGCAAAGCCCACAAAAACAGAGAGAGTAGAGAAAATACTTTTTTAAGAAAAAAGGAAAAGTTGAATCATGATCTGTTTATGGACAGGTGAGAACATATGACAGGTGAGAACATATGACAGGTGAGAATAGAGAGAAAGATAGGTTTTAAAACTTGCAATCTATCCATAACGCATCTCTTCTTTTCAAGAACTTTATACAGAAAAGAGATTCACTGTGCTGAGTTAGAACTCTCATCATGTTTACGGTTTTTAGTCCAAGAACTGCTGTTTTGCACAATATGAATTTGTTGACAAACAGATCCCAGTGTAGTTTTTTTGAGATAGTAGGAACTGCAGATGCTGGAGAATCTGAGATAACAAGGTGTAGAGCTGGATGAACACAGCAGGCAAAGCAGCATCAGAGGAGCAGGAAGGCTAA